TCGCATGTGGACCCCTAGCCATGGCGAGGCCAGGGGGGGGAGCAGTGGAGCGAGGGTCAAAAACGGGTCCCAAGCGAGACGACGTACAATGGGGGCCCGACAGCAGGAAACCCTCCGCAGGGAGCCCAGTCCTGAGACTCCAGGACGTCCGTCGACATGTGGCGTGGGAGCGCCACGCCTTCCGCAGCAGAACCCTGGAAACCCAAGACGCCCAAGGCGCCCTGGAGGCAAGCAGGGTGACTCTTGGCATTGCGTCTCAACTCTACTGTTCGCACCTGAGCGACGATCAGAGACGGGTCTGAGGAGGAGGAGGAGGAGGAGGAGGAGGAGGAGGAGGAAGGAGGAGGAGGAGGAGGGGGAGGGTAAAGGGGAGAGGAGGGGGAGGAGAGAGGGGGAGGAGTGATGAGGAGGAGGAGGAGTAAGGAGGAGGAGGAGGAGGAGGAGGAGGAGGATGAGGATGAGGGGGAGGGGAAAGGGGAGGAGGAGGGGGAGGGGGAGGATGAGGAGGAGGAGGAGGAGGAGGAGGAGGAGGAGGAGGAGGAGGAGGAGGAGGAGGGGGAGGGGAAAGGGGAGGAGGAGGAGGAGGAGGAGGAGGAGGAGGAGGAGGAGTACGCGAGAGGACACAGCGACCCTACGCGGTGGACTACGCGGGCGCCCAGCGCGGCACGCTGCACTGCGAACGAAGGTGCCTGCGCGCGACCTCACGCGGGGGCAGCTCGCGCGCCAATCTCGGCGCAGACGACCCCGCTCTTCCCAGAAAGGGCGCTGGCCCGGTGTTTACACCCGGTTTCGACTTGATGAGGGCCGGCGGAGTTATGACTGCCTACCAGACCACCCCAACCCTAACCCGAAGACCCCAATTTCGGGTTGGGGGGGTAAGGGTTCCACGCGTGTTTTTTTCGATGTTTCCCGACCCCCCCCCACTAGAAATCGAGGGTAAATCTGAGCCTTCGGGTTGGGTTGGGGTGGTTTGGTGGGTGGTGAAGTTATGCACGATAAATAATTATGCCAAGCCTGATTCTTTTTTGAGAAAATACGCTTCGCGCAAGCCCGCTCGAGGAAAACGTGTCCCGTACCTCGGATCCTCGATCAACTACAAGGTCCGAGGGCACACGTTCTCCCTTTGTAGAAAAAGGGATGCGGAGCTTTTTGCGCAGAATTGAAGATAAACCGCAGGGTCTGGAAACTCCAAAATTTGTCCGAACATGAAAAAAATACGTTCTGCCTGCCCGCTCGTTGATGGCGCGCCCTGCGCGCCGAAGATCTGAGGACGTCTCGAGCGAAACGCTTCTTTGGCAAAACTTGAGCGGCCTGGGCGCTCCACGATGCCCAAGTTGAGCGAGCAACGACATATGTACATGTACGCCCTCCGCGATCTTGAGTGCACGAACGTCCTCGTTCAAATGCCCTCCTGGGGAAGCTATCCGCGTACGTGTACATATGTTGCTGGCCTCTGACAAGTGGTTCTGGGAGCCCGAACACAGCGTGACTTACTGGGGAGCGTTGCCCTGGGAGCGCGGATACACGAGGGAGCGCGGCCCTGGAAGGCGCGGACGCAGCGCAGTCTGCGGGGGATCGTGGCCCAGGAAGAGGTCGCAGGCGGCATTCCACGCTGAACGCGCCCGCAGCGGGGTCGCCGCCGGTCGACGCGACGCGAACCGGGGGGACTGAGGGGGAGGGGCGTCGTGCTCTGAGCGTTGGGCCTGACTGCGGACGATCGCCCACGCGTGCAGGGCTCGGGTCGGCAGGCGATCCAGCGAGCCTCTGCGGGGTCGGACTCCGGCTTCGGAGGAGAATCCCGCCTCGAGGGCCTCGAGTGAGCTCACTTGACCGCCTTCTTGGCCAGCCCGAGGCAAGCCAAGCCAACCCATCTCGACTCTCCAGAACTGGCGGCGCGCACAAGGGGGTAGGGGAGGGGGGAATGGTTCTTAGAAGCAGGGGTGCTTCGAAGAAACCTTGCCCCCTCCACCTACCCCGCTCGCGTGACCGCCTTCAGGGCCAACCCAGGCCAAGCCAAGCCAACCCATTTCGACCCTCCAGGCCCATGCCCCCGACGTCGTGACTTTTGTTCATAACGTCGACCCCCATATTGGGCGCGAATGAAGTGGGGGCGGCGAGAAACGGGGTGGGGGGAGAAAGGGACTCTTTTCGGGTGTAAAGGACCCCTTCTGGGCCCGAAAAGGTCCATTCAGGGGCCAAAACAAGGGCCCCTTTCTGCAGCCCTCGCTGCCCCCCCATCGATCGCCCTCCCATTACGCGCCATCCGACCAAACGTCAGAACCCCTTCCCTTCGGACCCGCTCCTCCTCCCGAGCCGCTTCTCTCCGGTCCCGGGGCCCGGTGATTACGGGCCCCCGGAGGCCTGCCATCGCTCGGACGCTCCTTCCCCGTGCGGTGTGTTTCCCCAGGATGCTCCAGGATGCTCCTCGATGGTCCCAGCCGGGAAGCATGCACACGTCCGAGCGATGCCAAGGAGGCCGAGAGTAGCGAAAAACCTCGCGGCGTTTTTCTCAGGAGCCTCTTGAAGCTCTGAGATGCATCGTGAGGCCTCCGTGGGCACGCCGTGCGGGATGAGGCGCGAGATGTCTCAGACGCTTCTGGGAGCCTATGGTAGAGGCCTCCTAGATGGGGTCGGAGTAGATGGGGTCGGAGGATTGCGCCGTATCGCCGATACATCGGCGATGCATCGGCGATGGATCGGCGATGCACCGGCGATGCATCGTCGACGTCGGCGATGCATCGGCGACGTTGACGTGAAGCAAAGCGGGCCGCACATCGAGCCGCATCGGCGATGCACCGGCGATGCGGCGCGATCCTCCGACCCCATCTGCTCCAACCCCATCTAGGAGGCCTAGATATTAGGGGGCAAACAAACCTACCTCGCTTTTGACCACCCTCGCTTCCAAGAGATACCAAGCGATGCCAAACTACGGCCTGTACTGGTCAGGCCGCTTGACGAGGAGGCGCGTGGTATGACTTGGTTTTGCCTGGAAGCGAAAGCGGGGGAGGTAATTCACGCTCTGAGAGATGGGGAGGCCTCCTGGGAGCCCCCTGCAGCAAGAAAACACCTCCCGTCGTGAAGTTCCCACGACGCCAGGGGGTCCCGGGAGACTGCCCGTGGGTCCGACGGCCGACGGCCGCTGGCCGACGGCTGCGCGACATCCTCCTCCTCCTCCTCCTCCGCCTCCTCCTCCTCCCCTCCTCCTCCTCCTCCTCCTCCTCCTCCTCCTCCATCCTCCGCCTCCGCCTCCGTCCTCTCCTCCTCCTCCTCCTCCTCCTCCTCCTCCTCCGCCTCCTCCTCCTCCTCCTCCTCCTCCTCCTCTCCTCCTCCTCCTCCTCCTCCTCCTCCTCCTCCTCCTCCTCCTCCCCCATTTATCGCGCATTGGCGCATTGGCGGCCGCGGCGTCCTCGCAGAACTCGCACGCGCTGCCGGCCGGCTCCGCGCCCGGGCCCCAGGCAGCTGGCGGGGCGCCCGCGGGGCCGGGCTCGCATTCGCCGGGGCTGCCGGCGTCCTCGAGGGGAGGAGCTCTGCAAGGCCGCCGTCGTCGTCGTCGTCTCCGCAATTGTTGTGGTGGTGGTCGTCGTCGTCGACGTCGTCGTCGTCGTGGACGGCGGCGGCGACGGCGACGGCCAGAGACGGCCGACGAAGACGACGGCGGCGGCGACCGTCACGGCGACGGCTGCGACGACGTCCTCGCGGAGCTCTGCGGAGGGGGCAGCGGGCGCGGCCCAACCGACCCCTAACAAACCATCCCGTCCCGTTACGACACCCTCGCCTTTCGAGCTTCCCTCTGGCCGCGTACATATGCCTTAGGGTCAGGTCGGGCATGTCCTCCTACAGGCGGATCGTTGGAGAAGGACACAAGGTGGTCAAAGCATAACCAGCAGCAGCCCTAAGAACAGGAAACATCGTCCCGAGACTGCTGCTCCAACTGAACACCCGGGCGGGGCGAGGGCGAAGGCCACGTCACGGAAGGAAGTGGCTTGCCAGAGGTCGGTCAGGCCGCCCCTGAGGGCAGGGGAAGCGACCTCCTCACGAGCGAGCGCCCTCTACAGGCGAAGCCGCTTGGTGAGCGCACCTGCAGCCATCGCGCGACCCCGAGGGCCGCGGAGTAAAGGAGCCCAGTCCTAACGAAACCCTCCACGGGAAACCCGACCCTGGAACCCCGGGACGTCCACCGAATTTCGGTGTCGGGACGCCGCGCTTCCCACGGCAGAACCATCGAAAACCAAGAGACCCCGGGCGCCCTGGAGGCAAGCATGGTGTGTCTGGGCGTGGGTGGCCCCCGTACGGAGCGACAGGGGATCTCCTGGC